GGCTAGGGAGAGCCCAAGGTCACACAGGTGACCACAGGCAGAGCCAGGATTTGAAGCCGGGCCCTCTGACTCCATACCCATAATTCTTCCCACTTCTCATGAAGCCAGCCCCCCAGAAGCTCCACCTGCCCAGACCCACAGCCCGATCACCAGAAGAAGCCAGTTTGCTGATGGCCCGGAGGAGGCACCCCCAGCTTTCTAGACCAAAGGTCCTTCCCAGGGGAAGGGCTCTGGGCCCCCCAGCCCAGGCAGGCCTCCACTCCACCATTACCTGGTTCGGTGGCCTTTGATAGTGTCTTGGGGACTATGTGGACCCACCTGAGGGGCTGAGGACACTCGGGGAAAGGCCATCGATCTCGGGGCTGACTTACCCAGCAGGCCCACTCGAGGGCCAGGGCAGCGAGCTCCCAGCATGGAACGCTCCCCCAGTGAGCACTTTCAGCAGATGCTTTGGAAGGCCCGGGCTGGGGCGCCCATCACAGTGTGGGATGGGGTAGACCCTAGAGCCCAAGTCCAGGAGGATACTTTCAACAGAATCCTCCCAGCCCCCTTCATGGCCCCCATGGTCCCAATGTCCTGAATGAATTAATCCAACCTCCAAACCCAGGGCAAGACATAACCTGGGATCGATTTCTTCAGCAAAGGCAACTTCCAGAGGAAGGAAGTCCCTTCAACGCAGCAGGGGGGTCAGTGCCCTCTGCAGTGTACATCCCCTTGGCTGGGAGGCATCAGGGGCAGGATTTGAATACAGTTCCTTCTGGCTTTGAGGCCTGCTGCCTCTGGAATCCTCTGGTCAATTAGGATAGTAAAAGAACACTCCTGCCCCGTGGAGGCAGCAAAGCCGGAAGGACAGGAATGACTTTCTGCTCTGTCCTTTCATGCTCAGCATCCTGCCCAGTGCTTGGGCATTGGGGCATGGGGGTGGGGGAAGGGCAGGTGTCCTTGTGTGGCCTCCACTGACCCAGCTGTCCTTCTCTCATGGCAGGCGTGGTGCGCCAGGTCCGTCCCATCGTAGGCCCCTTCTACGTCACACTCAAGCTGGAGATGAACTACGTGGTGGGTGGGGTGGTCTCCCATCGCAACGTGGTCAACGTCCACATCTTTGTCTCTGAATACTGGTTCTGAGAGTCGGCTCCTCAGCCAGCTTTGCTGCCAGGGATCAGGCCCTGCCTCTGTGTATAAGGCCCAACACTTTCTTCCTTTTGCTCATTTCTGTCCTAAGCATGATCAGCCCAGAGCTGTGCTGAATGGGGGTAGGATGGGGCAAGAAAAGCCCACCTGGTGCAAAGCGGGCTCTTGCCCTCCCCGGCCCCAAGCCCAACAGTGGCCTCTCCTGCATCACGTCTTCGGAAGGGATGGCCCCATGTCGGCCTTGGCCACTGCTGGTCTAGGCCAAGGTGGGGAGAAGGGGAGCTTGGCATAGATGAAGAGGACCTTTCCATTCTTTCTAGCCACATGCACGCGCACATCCCAACCCAAAAAACACAGCCAGTGCCTGCATGTGCTGGTCAGCTAGAGCCGAGCCCCGCCATGCCAACCCCAGGCCTAGAACCCAGCCAGCTGGATCCATGGAACCCTGGGGTGATTAGAAGGGACAGTTGAGCACTGTAAAGAAATCCTGGGTTGAGACACAATCCTTACTCTGTAGGGTCCCTGGGTATGTAACCATGTTCCTACAATAATGCAGTGAACGTATTTTCTGCCTCCCCCCATTGTCATTTTTGGTAGAAATGTGAAATAAAGAGCCCCACAATTGTCTTGTATATTCAGCAGCATCCTACAAGTCCTTATGAGGCTCTGACTGGGCCACAGCTCCCACTGTGTCATGGCAGCGTGAGGGTACTCTGGGAAGCTGGACTCAGGTGGAGCAACTCATTACAGGGCACTCTAGGATGGAGGGTGGGTTTAGCCAAGGATGGGGTGACTGGGACTTACGGCCAGGGAGAAGGGGCCCACACAGAGGAATCTGAGGAGCCTGGAAGGGCCGTGAGTATTAGCCCACAGCCACGCAGGCCATGGCCAGAAATCTCTACAATATAAGGGAAAGTGCAGAGCAGAAAGGAGAGGTCCAGGCAGGTCCCTGGGACAGTCCTGGGAGGCTTCATGGAGGAAGCAGCCCTCAGCTAGGTCTTGAGGGTCAGAGTTCATAGAGAGGGGGAAGGCAGAGATCCTGGATGTGGGAGATGGCACGGGATGAGATACGGGTGGGCGACGGGCCGGGATGTGCAGGGTCTGAAGGGCAGGAGGTGGGAGCCAGGGGGGACCTGGGGGATACCCCACTGGTGTCAGGAAGAAGTGAGCTTCTGGTTGACCACGCGCCTCATCTCCGTTGTCTCATTTGAACTGTGACAGAGGAGGCCATTGAAGGTTATGAGCAGAGAGGTTCCCGGATCTAAGCTCAGCAGATAGAAGACATTTGGAGCCTTTCCATACTGGAAAGGGCTGGAGGAGGAGGTCACGAGCATGGGCCCCAGGAGGTCTGAGAACAGAACGTGGAAGACCTCCTGTTAGAGGCAGAGGGATTGTGAAGAGGGTTCTTCAGGCCCCCCGAGGACGCACACAGCTCAGAGATTGTAGGAGTTCTGGGTCAGGTTTAGAAGGGAGCTGGCCCCTGGAAGTGCAAAGGTGTGAAGGCTGGTTTTTCTAAAATTAATTTATCTTGATTTATCAACAATCACTTCCATAAGCTTTTGAGTTATAAATTTTTCTCCCTCTCCCTCCCCACTTCCCTCCCCAAGACGGTGCACAATCTGAGATAGGCTATACACATGCATTCCTATTAGGAGGCTGGATTTTTTAAGGAGGAATGGACATCACGTTGCGTGGCTTGGAGAGGGGTCTGATATAGCCCAGGCTTTGAGTGGGAAGTACAATTGTTATGGGCACTCACAACTGCACACATTTCTGTAGCACTTTGCTTAAAAGCTCAATCTTCACAATAGCCCTGTGAGGTAACTAGGGCAGGTACTATTCTCCCCATTTTAGAGATGAAGCAACTGAGGCCCAGAGAGGCTGAGCAACTTCCAGGTCACAGAGCTAGTGGGTAGCAGACTTTGAACACAGGGCTTCTGACTTCAAATTCAGAACCCTTTCTGCTGGACTATTCCTGCAAGCACCGGGGTGAAGTGGGAAAGAAGCCATCTCTGGTCCACGTAGCCATACCTAGGGCCAAGCCTCCCGGGCTTTGGCCCAGGACGTGGAAATTTAGGGGGCACCAGATGCTAGACCCAGGTGGGGGCTGCCCAGTGAGGCTGAATAGAAGCTTTCTGACTGTGGCTGACTGCAGCAGCTAGAAGTCACCCTGTAAGGAATTCTCCCACCCACTCAACTGACTTTGTCTTAATTACTGTATCATTTTCACACCTTGAATTACAAAGTTGACTCGAGCCCCTGAGGGCTGCAAAGGCTCAAGACGGCCCTGCTCTCCCTGAGGGGATGGGAGCTCTCCCAAGCTCATTAAGGGGAGGGGAGACCCAGCTGCTCCTGGATGAGGCATAGCCCTGGCCTTTGAGGGCTGGCCCAAGCAGCCCCATTTCACCAGAGCCCCGAAGTCTGTTCAGCTAGAGCCGAACAGGGGCAGTTGTGGGTCCATGGGTCAGGTGAAGGTGGGGCCTGGGTGGTCACTGAAGACGGAACCAAACCAGCGATAATTAATACCGGCTGAGTATGAAGTCGGGGATAAGGACAATGCCCGCTTCAAGTATACCCTGTTCCTCTCGCAGGCCAAGGAGGGAGAGAATATTGTGCAAATGAGGAAACTGGGACTGCGTGAGGTTCAAGAGCTTGCCCCCCCTTTCCCCTCCCTTCCCCCCTGTGCCATAACTGTCCAGTGTCTGAAGGGCTAGGTCGAGCTCCCCTTGCTGTCCACACTTCCTCAGGAAGCCTCATGCGCCAGGGTGTGCCCAAGGTTTGCCTTTCCTTAAATCTTGCCTCCCAGAGCCTCTCATTCCTTTCTTCAAAAATCACTTACCAAGAGCCTACTGTGTGCAGAACCCTGTGACCAATGGGAGGGGAGGTGTGAGGCTTAAATCAATGGTCCAGACCTTGTGGGGTAGGTAGACAACACAGCGGACAGAGCATCGGACTAGGCTTCGGGAAATCTGCGTTGGCAGCCTGACTCCGACACGTGGGAGCCATGCGCCTCTGGGTGAGTCACTCACCCTCTCCCAGCCTGTTTCACCAGGCTACCTCCCCAGGCGGTTGTGAGGAACAAATCAATTAATACAGGTAAGTGTTTTGCAAACCTTAAAGTGCCGTGTGGCTACTCCCCTGAGTATAAGGATACCTCCAAAGCGCTGCCTAAGGTCTGAGGCCGAGGGCCGTTCTGGAGGCCAGGATAACGGCTCTGTCTTGTGAGCCTTCCCCTGGCCCAGCTCGCAGCGAGGGCTGACCCCTCCACAGGAAAGAAATGGGCGCAAGCCTAGTGGCACCTCAGCTTCCTTCAGCAGAAAGCCCAAGGCCAGTCAGTCCCAGCCAGTCAGTCCCAGCCACTCCTCCCCGCCTCAGTCTCCTCATCTATATAATGGGAATCAGAGTCCTTGCCCTACTCCTCTTGAAGGTTTTTATAAGAACACCACACAGACCACAAGCTGCTCTCTGTGCCTTAGCCACTGGCCCAGGTACCCACCTGGTGACTGCTCCTCAAGTGTGGACACTGGGTCCAAAGGCCTGCTGGTCCAGGCAGACCTGTCACACCCTCAGGGAAAGGAGGCTGCACACTAAAGGCCTCTGACTTCCTTCTGTTACCAACCATAGAGACCCCTTTGTGATTTCCGGCCCTCAGAGAAATAGAGCTGTTTATCGGCGTCTCTCAGCCAGTATGTGTCTGAGGAAAGATTAGAACCCAGCTCCTCCTGACTTGGGAGGCTAAGTGGAGGAGGTCCATCCATCACAAAGCGCATCTCTCTGATTCACTGCAGGGTCAAGGGGGCCACATTTTAATTATATTAATTTAAATAAATTAATAGCGATATTAAATAATGTTCTATATATACATGATATTAAATTAATTTTAAAATGAATTTAATTAATTATTAATGAAGCCTCACAAAGGTTTGTACCTGCTAATGTGCCATTCATCCCCCAGCTCTGCTGGTTCATTACAGTCCTGACAACTCTAGCAAGAATCAGTATCACTAACTCACCTATTGCTGTTGAAATGACCTCATTAATTCATGTCTGAGAAGACAGCCTGCTGCAGTGAAAGCACCCTGGGTGGAAAGGGCTGGGTTCAAATCTGGCCTTACTGATGTCTATCTGTGTGACCTTGGACAAGTCCCTTCCCCATCCAGGCCTCAGTTTCCTTTGCCATAAAAGGAGAGGGTGGGCCTAGGTAGCCCATGGACTATGACCTTGGAGTATCTCCATCTCCACATCTCGGTCTCCGGGTAGCTGCTTCTGTCTTGGTCCATCCAGGACGCTTTTGTGCAGTTACTGTATCTCAGGGCATCACTGCTGGATGAGACCCCGGGGTGACTTAGTGCAGCCCTTCTCCTCACCTCCCACCATACACCCAGAGGAGTAGATCCCCTTTATGGCATCTTTGACGACACCTCTGTCTAATCTCCACTGGCATACCTCCAGCGACCAGAGAACTCACTACCTCCTAGAATTCTTAAAGCCCGCTTCTAACATAGCTTGCCTGTTGTCCCATTTGCAGAGGAGGAAGAGTCTGCACTTAGACCTGCACCTTCAGAACAGTATTGGGCAGTGAGAGCCTAGACAAGGAGACCAAGCCACAGGCTCTTGCCTGTTCTGGGTGAGAGGTGCCGAGGATCTGTGTGAGCAGAGAGGAAGGGGAGAAGGAGGACCGGAGAGATGCTGTGTCCAGGCTTGTACCTGTAGAATGCTCTCTCCCTTCTCCGCAGCCCCCTGAGGCCCATGGATCTAAACCCTGGCTAGCCTGGAGGGCCGGCCTCAGAGGCCACTCCACAGGATCTCTGTCCACCCCGCTCCCCCAAAGGCTCTTTTATCAACCAGCAAGCATTTCTTCTTCATCCCATTCACGATTCTGAGAGCCCATACTCCGCCAGGCCCAGAGCTTGGTCTCACCCTTCATTGGGTTCTGTTTTTTTGGGTCCCTTCTCTGGTTAGCCTGTGCACTTCCCAAGGGCAAGGCCAATCTTATTCCTTTGGGATCCCTTTGTCTAGACCAGTGTGGATCCTGCCGCCTCATTGAGGCCTTTTGACTGAGTTAAGAGGATTTGTTCTGGGAAGCTTGGATTCAGTCAAAGGGCCACACTTGAGGGCCTACAGGGCCACCTGTGGTCTCCAGATTAGAGGGTCCCCACTGCTGGTCTAGAACATGCTGTGGAGCACGGTGCCTTGTACGTGACAGATGCTTGCTTCTCAGTCCTTAGAAAGTGAAGCAGCCACCACACCAGGGGCCAGTGATCAGTCACACTGTGAGCCAGCAAGTCAATGAAGGCAGCCCCATCTCCGCTTTCACCGGGCGAAACAGACAGACTGGGAGGAAACCACACTGACGCGGTGTTTCTCCGGCCTTGGACACAGTCTGCCATGACATCCGGGGTGGGTAACTGTTGTTAGGTGCAGCTGAATGCTGCCTGGCTAAATCTGAGCTTAGGAAAGTGAACAGAGCCAGAGCAGTGATTGGTGGGCAGTGAGCCCCTGGAGGAAGGGCCTCACTGGTCTTTCCCAGACCCCAGTCACTGGCTCAGATTAAATCATGGATAATACATTTATCAGATTTGCAGATTCCACAAAGCTACAAGGGATGGCTAACACATTCACTTTAGGGTCCCAAAAGATGGCTTTTGGCTAGAATGACTGGCTGATCTGCATATCTCTATGCTCTCTTCCCCCCCCCCCCCCCCCCCCCCGCCCCCAGTGCCTTGCACAGGGCCAGACACACATTAGATGCTTAATCAATACCGATTCAAAGAAGTAGAGAAGCTGGTTTTTGAGGCAGAGCTGTGGGCTCAGGAAGGAAGCACCTGCTGCCGCTGGCCCTGGTCAGGTACCAGCATCTCCCCCACTCTCAGGCAGCCTACAAGACACAGATAAAAGCAAGAAAAGCCTGGCCTTGGGGCAATGCCCCTAATGGCCCTTGCACCCTGGCTGCAGACCCTCCTGGGGTATCAGGAGGAAGAACGAGAAAGCCAGGTAGCCTTGTGGCTGAATGGTGGGATTCCTCCGTGGTGATGCTTTCCTAGTGCTCTCCTGTGTGTCCCGACTCTCTGTCCTTCTGTTGTGTATATTTCCGGGCAAGCAGATGCTTTGGGCTGGGCTGGGAGGGCCGCATGGTAATGACCCTGTGTCAGTCACAAGGGGTGATGAACATGTCATTAATACGCCTCTTAGCCTGCCTTCCACTTTTGAGAAAGCCGGGGTCTGGGGGGCTCAGAGGGCCTTGCCAGGCATAACTATGAGAGTAGAGGTTCCCACCGGCCTTCCTGTGACGTCCCTCTTAAAATCTTCCCTTGGTCAGTATAATTCAAAGGAGGGAGCTATTTAACTGAGGTGGGGTAGAGATCATTACCGTGTCCTTGAGGGCAGGCCAGAGCTTCATTCTCCCCTCCCATGTGGTCATTTGTCTTCTCCCAGGGCACTCCTTGGCACTCCAGAAAGGCACCACGGTGGTCCGCCTGCCCACCTGCGGCCGGCATCTCCACGCTCTGAGAAGATGGTAAGGAGGGCAATGGGTGCTGAATAACGGGCTGGCCTTTGAGTGGGCTAGAGGGACATTGGCAGGCTCTCTAGTTCATTCGTCGGACCTCAGCCAGGAAGGGCCTGAAATCATCCCCCTTCCCCGACTATCCACCTCACCCCCTTCACCCTGGGTCAAAGAGGGCAAAGCTGGGTTCAGACTGAAGGAGTGAGATGCCTGCTGTCCTTTGGTGCACCCATCTCGGCACCGAGTGCTGAGAGGGCCCATGGCGGCATGGACACAGGTCCTGTGGCCATGGCACAGCCAGACGAGCACATGGGAAGCCACTACATGTGCTCTGGCAGGTGGCTTAGACAATGAAACCAGCGGGCAGCCAGAAAGGGGAGAGGTCAGTGACAACAGCCGCCCTCGAGGAAGGTCGGGCAGAGAGACAGGAGCCCTGGGCTTGAGTCCCAGATCTCTCCCAACTCCCAGTGTGATCCTGGGCAAGTCGCTGCTGCTCAGGGAACCTCAGTTTCCCCCTTGGTACAACAGTGAAAGGTTGCAGCTGGTCTGTGGGTTAGACCAGCCCAGCCCAGAGCTCCCTTCCCTTGTGGCTGTTCTCAGCTCTGGAGTTTTAAACACCCTCCAACTCTGGACTCCTTTGTATCGACATGCTCGGGGCTCCCACTCCTTTAGCCAGGAGCCCTTTCCTAATGTCAGATCTATGTCTACCTCCCGCACCCAGGAAGGAGCCAGACCAGATGTCACTGGATAGAATCCTTGATGAGGCTCCCCAGGATGAACCTGCTACTCCATCTCCGAGGCCCTGACCTCATCTCCCCGTGGTCCTTGACTTGTGCAGCCCTTCCTGGGAGGGAAGGAAGTAGGGAGGTTCCTGGTGAGATTCAGAAATCCTAGCAGCTCCTGCCAACCTGCGCCCCCCCCCCTCCCATGACCTCAGCCCAGCCTGAAGGCTGGACCACCCGGGGCTCCGTTCTGGGGGACAGGGGAGCAGCCTGAAATGGATACCTACCCCTGGCACTCCAGCTGAGGTTTCTGGAAGGCTAGTTGCTGCACAAGCCGGCTAAGCCTGAGGAGCAAGGGGGAACTTTGCCTGAGGCCTGCCTTGTGGGATTGGGAAATTAGAAACGAATGTTCTCCACTTTGGAGCAGGAAAAGTTTCCGCCTCCCGGCCACCCCGCCAGTCCTCTCTGGCCAGGGGGTCACCTCTCTGGTCAGCTCTGCCAGGCACACCTTGCAGGAGGTCCCTTATCAGCGGCTCCCAGATGCCACCTCCTACCCGAAGTGCATGTCCCAACTCGGCCTTGATCAGAAGCCCGGCCGGGTGAGGGCGAGCCTCGTGCTCGGCGGGCAGTTTGGAGGGCTGCCACAATCAGGCCTAATTAAAAGAAGAGGTGGGGTGGAGCCTCGCCTGATGACTGTTCTCTATGCCAGGCATCAGATGTGTGGGCAGGCCTCCAGGAGCATCTGCGGGAAGCAAAGGCAGGAGCTGGGTGGGGCTCAGAGAGGGCTGGCTTGGAGTCAACAGACCTTGGCTTGAACCCTGGCTCTGCCACTGCCTCACCGTCCTCATTTGTAAGAGTCCCTGTCTGGCTCCCAGCTGGGGTGCGGGCATTTCAGAAAGGGCCGAAAGAACCTGCCTGGGAATCCAGCTGGATGGTGGCTATGGACAAGTCATGCTATCTCTGGAGCCTCAGTTTCCTCATCTACAGAATAGGAACAATGAAACATGCTCTGCTCTGACCCTCCCTAGTTGCCAGATCTCGGGCAAACTACTTACCTGGCATCCTTGTCTAGAAAATGGGGAGAAGAATGCTCACCTGCCTCTACCACTGGGAACTGTCTGACCTTCTGCAAGATGTCTTCACTCTTGGGTCCTCAGTTTGTGCATCTGTGGCTTGGGTGTAAGAGTCCTCTTATGAAATAGCCCTCAGGCTTGTTGTGGGGAGGGCACATTGGAAACTCCTAAGTATGAGTGGCGGCTCGGCCACTCACTGGCCGCCTGGCACTGCCCACCCAGTCCCTCTGTGGGCTTTCACAGCAGCAGTGACCCACCAATCTTGCCAGGTCAGGAGGGTGAAGATGATGTGGAAATTGGGGCTGGGAGAGGTGCTGCCTCCCAGCCAAGGTCACCGTGGCCACAAGGTCAGGGTCCGAATGCAAGTGTCTGGTGCTTTCCCCTCTGGACCTTGGCTTGCTCTGTCTCTTCCCTTGCATAATTGAAGTAGCCCACCACCATTGAGACCCTGTTGTCTGCCCCTTCAGCATTTACTTCACTGCTGCTCACTAGCGCCATTCCTCCAGGGAGGTGGAAAGCTGAAGGGGTGCCTGCCCTCCAGGAGCCCATATAAGACAAGCCCAAATGGCTCCCCAGGGTTTGGGGGGGCATGAGCCCCCTCCTCTCCTCTGACATTAGCATCCCCCAGGCCAGGCCCTCATGGACTCTGCCTCAGCCCCTCCCCCTGCCAGTCCAACCTCGGCTCTCCTCTGCCCAGGAACCCTGCTGGCTTCCTACTGCCCCCTTGACCTCATGCAAAACCCCTAGTCAGCCTTCAAGGCTTTGCAAACTTGCGCAGCCTAGCTGTGCAGCCTCCTTCAGACACACCATGGCCCAGCCAAACCAGGCCTCTGCGCTCCTCCCACACAAATCTCCTGCCTCCGTGACTTTGCACTAGCTGGTCCTCTTGGCTGCTGCCTATTTTGTGAAGCTGTTCCTGATCCCCTCCCCTTCCTTCCCCCAAATCACCTAGTATTTTAAAAAGACCCTTATAGGTGTACGTGTCGTGTCCTCTGACAGAACGGAAGCTTTTTGGGAGCAGGGATGCCTTCATTCTCTGCCTCTGTAGCCCCCAAGCCGCCTTAGCATAGTGCCTAGGCACCCAGAGATGCGAAAGAGGTGCCTGTTGGTGGAAGATGATAGAGGGGGTCCCAACCAATTGCCTAAAGAACCCTGAGGAAAGACACTCATTTCTAGGACCCAAAGAAACTACGTGTCTGTATTGAACCCTCTGCCCAGACTTCTGGGGAGCTTGCTCGAACCCTGCCCTCTCCTGTTTCCAAGGAAGTGGAGTCTCTGGACTGTTGCCAAAGCCCCAGGCCCCTAGCCTTCGGTCCCCTCCCTTCCACCCTTCTGCCGGCCAGATGCTTAGCTCGCTTACTCCCTTCCTCGCTTGGGGACCCTGCTCTCTCCAAGGGGAGATGCCTGCTTTCCCCAGAGCTAATGTCAACCTCATGCCCTGAGGTTTCTGCAGTTAGATCTGTGGTTGCCAGGGAAATCACTCTTCCGAGGAGACTGATGAGGTCTGTCGAGGGGGCTCTGCTGGAAGCCTGGGCGGGGTTTGTTTACAGGGATGGTGGGCTGCTGTCATGGTACCCAAAGCCTCAGATCTGGGCGTCTCTGTGGTCGGGCCATGGGGGCCAACTCCAGTCTTTGAGCCTTTATTAAGTACCTACTGTGTGCAGACAAGCCTGTGCTCAGGAATAGAGGGGAGTCAGAGTTTAGGTGTCTACTGCGGGCTGACAGGCATGTGCTCAGGGATGGAGGGGTATCAAGGTTTAGGTGCAAAGACCCAGAGGCTGGAGGTGAGAACAGGGAGAAGCCCCGTATGGCACATCTGTGTGTCCAGATATACATGGGTATACAAACAGCACATGTGTGTATTTTACATGTTCTCACACACATGCAAATGAGAGTGTAAAGGATCCTTGACCTCATTTTACACATTTGGAAAGTGAAGCCAAGAGAGGGAGAGTGGCCGAGCTGGGACTGGTCCAGTTGTCTCCCCCGCCCCAGCCTTGGGCTTCGGGCCACGCGGTTTCTAACGCCTCAGGGAGGGAACGGGATCGACATTTAGCAGTCCATAGAAAAACAGAATTGAGAGCTAGCCCTTGTCTGGCCCAATCCTGCCATGCCTGCAGGGGAGCAGGCAGCCGGGCCACCCAGGAAGCTAGGAACAGGCCCCGGCCCAGGTCCAGGGCTGTCCGGCGCGGCAGGTGCTGTTCCGCTGTCTCCAAAGGCCGAACACTGCCTCTCCGCACCAGCCACGTGAGAACGGCGGGACTCAGAGGCAGGAAAACCTGCCCCACAGACGGAGGGACTGAGGCCGCTGGATTCCCCTCGGAGCCCCACAAGCCCCAGCCAAGCCCACACAAGACTCCCGCGCCTAAGGAGCTGCGTGTTTGTTCTTGCCTGGCCCGCTCTGCTCACCTGCATCTGCATGGAAAACATGAGATAATGGGGGTGTGACGCTGAGGGCCAGTGCAGCCCAAAGCGGGGGCTCCCCAGGAGCGCATGGCGCCCTCGCCCTCGCCGTGGTCATCGTGGCCCTGGCTGGGAGATGCCCCGTTCCTGCAGAAACCTCGCCTGGCGGGTCAGCTTTGTCCAGCGCCCCAAGCTTGGCGGAGGACTTCTTGCCCCCACGATGACCTTTTAAGGCAGGCCCCGTTCTATGGATGAAGAATCCGGGGCACAGGGAGAGACAGCGAGACCCAGGGCTACACGGTGGCAAAGCCGCGACTCAGACATTGTAATAATAACAACAGTAATAATAACATTGAGGTTGTGTGTTAGGGTTTGCAGATGTGATCTCATTTAATCCTTACCACAGCCCTAGGAAGGAGGGCCTGGTGTAAGGCCCATTTCACAGTTGAGGAAGTTGAGGCAGACATGGGTTAAGGGGACTTGCCCAGGCCCCACAGCTAGGAAGTGTCTGAGGACACATTTGAACTTGGATCTGCTTTGATGTCAAGCCCACCCTGAATCTAGGTTTCCTGGTCCAAAATCCAGCATACTTTCCCCTATAGAAAAACCAGCAGCCTGGCAGTGAAGGGTCCTGCCTTAGAATTCAACTCAATTCAACAAACATTGATTTCTTTCCTTTTTCTTCAACATCACTTCCATTTTTAATATAATCTTCTCTATTTCCCAATGTGGTCATCCACTGAAATGGGACAGAAGGAAGGAGGCAAAGAAAAAGAGATGGAGACAGACAGATGGAGAAAGAGGAGAGGAGAGAAGAGTTGGAGAAGGGAGGAGACAGACTGAGACAGGAGCAGCTTGGCTCCATCAGCACCATAGCTGTTCCTGACAGGAGGCACATCCCCATGGCCCCCCACTTAGGCAAAGAAGAGAGACAGGGGCATTTTCTGGCCAAGCTTGGTCAGTGTAGGGTCTCTTAGGCCCTGTTTTCGTCCCACAAACAATGATCGAAGGCTGTGCACAGAGCAAACCTGGACTGCAGTGTCTGGCAAGGGTCATTGGGCTGGAGGTACTGGGCCCCAGAAACATCACTGATGGCGGATGGGGATTCGTCCTGTTTTTAGCCACCTCTGTTTACCTAGATGCTAGAGGAGACTTCCGGTTGGGGGGAGCAGGCTATGGGGTCAGGAAACCGTGGGTTCCAGCACTGCCTCCCACACAGACTTTGCTGTGGGATCCTGGGTAGCGATCTGCATTGGGAGAAGGAGTGTCCTCACCTGGGAGCTCCCCAGATCAAGGAAGTCCCAGGTCTGGGCCCTCCCTCCCCCCAAATCACCTGACAACTTCATGTTGTGCTTTGAGTAGAGTAGAGAGAGAGCAGACTCTCAAGTCAGAGGGCCTGGGTTCTGTGTTACCTTGGGCAACTCATCTATCCTTTTTGGGCCTCAGTTTCCCCCTCTGTCAAAAGAGAGAGCTGGACCACCCTGAAAGCTCAAGATGGATGATCCTTTCTATGGTCCCTTTCTTCTTTCCCACCTCCAACCTCAGGGGAGAGGGAAGAGCTGTGGTGTCGGGAACCGGGTGTGAATCCAGACTGTGGCGATATCCGAGGCCCCTCGAGCCTCGCTTTGTCCCTCTGTCATGTCCACCTGGCAGCACCTGCCTCCCAAGGTGGGAGGGAGGGAGACTGTTTGGGAGCTGGCAGGTGCTCCAGAAGGGCACTGCATGACCTGGGATGGCATGCTCCACCCCCGCCCCGCCCTGCCCTTTTCTCGGACCACGGCACAGTTGAGCTGCAGCATCGTTATTGAAGCTGCCATTGTTCTGCGTGGGTCCTGGAGATGTCTTTAGGAGCTCCATTTCCTCGACCGGTCCAGAGCTCAGCAGCCCCCTTCTATCTTGGGAGACCATCCTTGGGAGAGGCCGTGGCCGAAAGCATCCCGGACTGGGGGTCCTGCCCATGGGACTGGCTCATTCTGGGCAGCAGACCTGTCCTCGGTTGGCCCATGTGTGCTCAGGCATCCCGGAGAAGCAGGATGCTGGTGCTCCATGAAAACTTTGGCCTCGTCAGAAAAGGAAGGTGACGGCAGATGTTGACTCAGTGGATGGTAAACAGGGGCTTTCAATAGCCCAGGATGGAGAGGCAGGAGGGACAGGAGCCCATTCAGGACGGG